CCCAGCCAATGACACGGGCGCACCCAGGGATCCCCCCTTCCTTTGAATTCCATACATCACAGTGTGGGAGGACGGGGGATCCCCACCCCCCACTGCCTGAGACCTCCCCACCCCACTGCGAGCATCTCAGCAAGGACAGGAGACGTCGTTACCTGCAGGGGTCACCGGCCTGGGGAGAATCAGGAGAGGGGCTGGAAGAGAAGAGAACGGAGGGAGTGAGAGCTCTGGGGAGGGGATGGGGGGTATATGAGGATGGGGGGATATGGGACGGGGGTATCACTGGACAGACACACAGAGGGAGGGGGGCTGCGGAAGGTCACTTACCCAGCAGAGGCAGAAGGAGAGTTAGCACCATGCTGAGCTGGTCGTTCTGGGCTCGGAGCTGGGTTCTCAGCTCAGCCACCAGCCCTGTCTGGGTGCAAGAAGAGGGATGGGCCCCTCCTCTCTGACGAAGGCAGAGGAAGTCAAAGCCTCAGACGTGGTCACTGCTCAGCTCAGGGACTGGAGAGACACTGGCGCCTGGTGCGTAGGGCGTGCGTAGGGGAGGTGGCCATTTATCAGAGCTGACAATTGGTGTGGGGGTGGGGCAGCAGCCGCAGGTTACTGACACCCCCAGGGGTGAGCCAGGGATTCAGCTGGTGCAAAGGAACCTCAGATGAGTTACACTGGCTCACACCCGCTGGGATCTAGCTCTAATGACTCCAGTGGAGCTACGGCCCATTGACCCCAGCTGGGATCTCGCTCATTCACAGTGAAGACTCGGAAACCAGCCCTCTGGTCCTGCTGTGGCCTTGGGGGGTGTTTTAATCTAACATTTGGAGGTTCTGCTGCAGCGCAGGGAGCTTAGCACACACGGGGAGTGACAGGGCTGGGGAGGGTTTCCAGTCCCCAAACCCTGACCCCGTGTGATGGGTCTTGACCCCCACTCTCACTGAGAGGGGTAACGGGAGCTGGAGGGCCCGGCCCAGTTGGAGACGGAGCCCAGCTGGGGAAGGGCTGGGCAGTGAGCAGAAAGGGAGGCAGCCCAGACGAGATGGGGGGCTGTGGGGAGAAGTTCTCCCCCCTCTCTGGTTGCTGGAGGCTGGAGTGAAGGTCCAGAGAGAAGCATCTGTGCAGACAGCCCAGGGAGGAGCTGGGGAAAGGGCCAGGAGGGAAGCCAAGGTAGGAAGGAGTCCGTTTATTGATCCCTCTGCCGCTATTGTACTTAGCCGACCTTCCCCAGCAGTCTCTTGGGATCCCTTCTGCATAGTGTACCCACAGGGGAGCGGGTTCCCCTGAGGTGTGAGGCTCCTTGGTGTGAACTGGTATTGGGGTACAGATCCTTCTATCCAAATAGGCAGCAGCTCCCCAACATAGTCCCAAATGCAGGAGCCCGGATGGAGCTCACGGCAGAGAAGCGAAACGCTGGGTCATGAACCTGTGCGTACTGGAGATGGGAATCCAGTGGAGACATCCTATCTAGAGACAGTGCCCCCATCTCCACCACAGTGACAGGTGAACCCCCTTTTCCTGCAGTTTGATGGGAGAGTTGCTGGGAATCTGAAGCCCACCTGAACATCCCAGTTTCTCCCCCTGTTTCTAGTCAGTGCCACTCCTTGCATCTCAGATACTCTGTGGTGGGCTGAGGGATCCCATCTCACCAGCAAAGACTGCGCAACCACTAGGCACTTCTGTGGGGAAGCTCACAGTGCTGGGCTCAAAGCCTTCAGCAGGTCCAATGTTCAGGGCAGGCAGGATATAAGTAGCAAAGGCTCTGGAGGCCCTTGGGCAGGGGCTCAGCATCAAACTGTCTGGGAGGCTCAGACCATGGGCAGGGCAGCGAAGGTTCAGGGCTCAGGCCCTGCTGCAGAGCAGGGAACAGTCTGGGAGGCTCAGGGCTTGGGCAGGGCAGAGCAAAGAATAGTTTAACGTCCTGGCTCTGGCGGACGGGAGGCTAGCACAGGCCTCCTGGCCTTGGTGGGAGGCTGCCCCCTCAGGGGTGGGGTTGTCAGCAGGGCATAGAGGAACCGGGGCCCAGCTGACTCCACCATCTCCCAGCCTAGGCCCTAACAGTGGTGCAGTGCACTGCCACTGGGTCAGCAGGGAATCCAGCCGTAAGACGCTGACTGCGTTCACACTGCAATGCAGCCAGACTGGAGTCGCTCTCCCTGAGCCAC